TGGGGGGGACAGCGCCCGGGGGAATTGTGGGCAGCACCTGGCAAGCAGGCGCCCTCTCAGGCAAAACCGCCCTCGGTATTCCTTTCAGAAGCTCCCTTTTTATAGTGTTAAAAAGAAATATAAGGTTCCTGTAAACGGGCTTGAAGCCACTTTGATGTAAAAGTTGTCATAATTTTTCTCACAGTGGCGCAGTTCGTTTGATTTATGGGATACTCGGCTGTGCCATTTGTATCTGTCGCTTCCTCCTCACTGTCTTCATGCAGTAACTCACACTGACTTCAGAAATGACTTACGCTGTTGGCAGAGTCATGCCATTCGCTGCGATTATAATAAAAGACTAATGTGAAGCTGAGCTCGAAGCTTGACTCTTCCGGGCGGGGGTGGGGCCCAAGATGCTGACCTGCCTCACCCAGCGGGGCCGTGGATGCGCAGCCGGGTGGGGCGGCACCCCACCTCCGTGCCGGGCGGGCCGTGGGACCCGAGCCTGACAGGGTTGTTCCCTAACTGCCATCCCTCCCTCTCCAAGGCAGGGGGTTGCTTAAGCTCTGGGGCCGCAGTTTTTTTATCAGCAATGGGGGCTACTAGTAAATCATTCATAGGCTCTGCTGGGGACTATATAGGACAACACACTTAAAGCACTTGGAACGGAGCCTGACACATGGCAAAGTGCAGGACCGTGTCATAGATGATGCTTAATTCCGAAAGATCCTCTGCAGGCCCCTCCCACATACTCCCACCCCTCTAAGGACATGGACCCCAGAGGCTTCCTGGAGGCCTGGTCGTCTGTTCCTAGGGCTGCACTGACCCAAGGGGCCCACCCTGCAGCACCTCTGCTCAGCCTGCTGGTCCAAGAGGCCATGTAGGGGTTGGCCCGGCAGCTTGCCACCTCCCCGGCACTCCTCTCCACGTCAGGTTTGCCCTGTGACACCCAACTAACTTGAGGTTTAATAAATAGGCCACAGGAGGAGGGGTGGGGGGGTGCTCCAAGTCATAAATGACAGACTAGGGAAAGGAAGGGGATCTTGACGATTCCGGTGGAGAAGGGAAGCAACTCCTTAGAATCTGCTTGGGCCCATCCCTAACAGGCTTCCGTCCTAGGCCCAGCCAATGGGGCCTTGCCCTCCCATGAGTCACAACCTCCCACCCCCCGGGGGACTTTATTAACCACAGGTTCTGCCATGGAAAGGTAGAGCCTGGCACACTTCTCAGATAGCTCATGCTGGTGGTGGTGGCCCTGCTTCCCTGACCAGTGACCACACACGAGCATACCCCACTGAGCCCCGGGAGCAGAGACCCCATACAAGACCTGTAAGCCTTGTGAGGACCCCCTCAGTGCTGCTGGACCACCCTCTTGCCCCACCTGAACTTCTTAACCCAGGATCTTTCCCCAAGCCCCAGAAAGCTGCAGTGCGGCCTGCGGGAAGTTTCGGGGAATTACACCTCTGGGAGCAGCTCCCAGCTGGAGGCTGAGGAGGCCAGTGTGGGTGGCTTCCCTGCAGGGTCCAGTCCCGTTGCTGGCAGCCTTCCCTCCCCCGAGGCCCTTCACCACTCTGCAGCTGGTGTGTCCTTCCATGTAAACAGCCACGCTGGCATCTTCTCTCGGCTGGAACTCACACTAACATACCTTCCAGGGCGCTTCAGGCAGAAGCCACATCCCTGGCTCACCCTCAACTGGGTGACAGGTGCAGGTTATCAGGCAGGGTGGGTCCCAAGTCTCTAAAGAGGACCGTGCTGAGGGGCACCTTCCCGCCTGTGTGGTCAGCAGAACAGTGTCAGCAGTCCCACCAAGGGCCAGCCCTCCGTGCGTGATTCTTGCTCCCAGGCCCACGTTGCCAGGTCCTACAAGTGAGCATTACCCACGCTGGTTGTGCCGTTGGAGGAGCTTTGGGCATCTTTGTTGTGTAATTTGCCTCTCACAGCAACATCCTCAGCCTTCTGAGGACTGTATGCCCCCTGAAACTTCTGCACTCCGAGAGGCACACCCGTTTGTGAGGAAGGGATGGTTTTCACGCACGGTGAACGGCCCTGGGAACACGGATGACATGTCGACCCAGAGAATTCACTCAACGTTGGTTCACTTGTTCCTTCAGCAGATTCAACAGAACTCCCTCGAGGTGTGAGGCGACACGGTGCTGGGGACACACAAATGCCCCTCGATTTGCCAGGGAAGGGTAGAAAGAACACTGGTAAAGTTTAAACTCTAAGGGAGCCCAGAGGAAGCCCTCCTCTAGCCTGGGAGGCTCCAGAAGCTCGGAGGTGAGACTGGTGAGCAGGACCCAGGGGGAGTCGGCCAGGCTTCCCAGCGTGGGTGAGGGGCGCGGCACTTCCCGCCGTGTAAATGCTGGGATCAGTGCAGCCCAGCAAGTTGTGTTTTCCCACAGGCACGTGCTGTAACGGGGGGCCCCTCATTCAGTTCTAGCCAGAATGCATGCCCAGCTGGGGGACCCAGAAGGCTGCCCAGGGTTCCTGGCTGTAGCTGCCCAGCTGGGGGACCCCAGCAGGCTGCCCAGGGCCTGCCCTCGTCCTGGCTGTAGCTGAGGGAGCAGCGGGCAGCGGGAACCCTCCCAAGTCTCAGACGCGGGGATGACAGGATATGTCACGAGGCATAACTGGAGGGGTGAAAGGGCTGCAGTGGATGTCACCTCCCATGGGCTCCTCCAGGGGAAGGACAGCCAGCAAAGGCCAAGCCATGGAGAGGAGAGCTTGTTCACAGCCCTTCCAGCTCCAGCACGGGAATCCCCTTCTCCTGCCCCCTGGGCTAATGGCCCTGGTCCTGCATCCACTGGTCCAGACACCACTAGTCCCCACACAGCCTCCTGTCCTCATTCATCCCACAGCTTGGTCAGACCACCTTCCCCATTTTCCACCGCAGCGGAGGCCTCACCCCATTTGGGCCTGGCCAGTGGCCTCGATCCTCTGACTGTCCATCTCACCTCCTCATCAGGAAGCAGACCTGACCAAAGGCCCCCTGGGAAGAGCAGCTCCCTGGTCCACTCACCCCGACCCCACAAGGTTGTGCCCCACCCCACTGGTCCTCCTGCTAGTCCCTTTCTTGGCTTGAAGCATCGCCCATGCTGCGTCCTCTGTCCCAACACCCTCATTGCTCTCCCAGAACTTGGTGGCATAAAACAACCATTTACTATGCTTCTGGGTTGTGTGGGTCTGGAATACAGACAACATGGTTGGGATGGTTTATCACGGGCCCCCGATGTCTGAGGCCTCGGCTGGAAGACTCGGAGGCATCAGCACCAGGGCCCAAACTCACCGGTAGCCAAATACGGAGGCCCGTCCCTGGGCGTGTGTTGCTGTGTGCGTGTGACTCACCAAGGCTCTGAGGGCGGGGGCAAGGCTGCTGCTGGGTTCTCAGAATCCCATGCTCAGAGAATTCAGAGAAACTCCAACTTTCAGAGAAAGCCTGCCCGTATGCTGCAGAGATGTTAACCACAGAGCCTGAGCAGGCCCAGGTGAGAGCTAGTTTGGCAGGGCCAGGAGGAGGTCACCCTTCCTGTCCCCAGCTGTGGGTGGAGGTCCCTGTAGCAGAGCACAGAGGTCACATCTATCTATGACGTGTGTGCGGAGACTGGAGGAGCACTGTACCACCAGTCTGCGGCCCGGTGGTCATCTCTGCCCCATTTCAGTGCACAAAGCTGACCTAGGCCTCGTAGTGTTTACCCTCCTTAGGCAGGTTGTGGCCTCAGCTCATTCAGGAGACTCTGGGGAGCCCTCATCCTCTCTGACACCCTTGGTTTCTCCATCTGAAAAATAAGGTGGTTAGATTAAATGAGGTGCTTTTTTCAAAACTTTTGACCATACCCACATTAGTAAATACACTTCACAACGTACTACACAGGATGATGGTAGGTGCTATAATTCACAGGTCCCAAGACATCAATGGCTTAACAAAAG